CATGCGTGGCTTTCCCCTGTTCCTCAAATTACTCTCCACAACCCTGTGAAGCAGGCCGGGCTGAAAGATAAAAGTGTCCAGCCCAAGGTTGCCTAGTGAATTTCATGGCACAGCCAGATGTCAACTCTGAGCCCCTAGAACCCGCTGGTGCCTCACCACCTTCAAAATGCAAACCTGAAAGTGGATGCTTTTAATAAAACCCCATTTGATATAGATGCCGGAGGGGGGCGTTAGGTGGGGACAAAAGATGTGCTCATGGCGTGTGCACGGCTTGTTTTAAGGCACCAGTGCAACTCTTGGGAGGTTTCCATGTAGAAAATATTATTTTTACTTGCATTTTAAAAATTCGGCTGACAGGGCAGCTTGGAACACTCCAGAGCCACCAGGATGGCTGGATGGGTGGGAGCCCCAAAGAAGCCATACGTGTCCCACAGTCCAATTCACGACTCCTGCCTTTCATTTTAAAAATGAGCTGCCCGCATGTCAGCGTCTTGGTTCTATTTTCTTTCTATTCCTTATGCAATTCGTGGTTCAAAATGCGACAGCCAGACTGGGGCCAGTTATAGGGAGCATATAATGTCCCTGCTAAAACAACTGCACTGGCTACCAATCCATTTTCAGACCCAATTCAACGCACTGGCCATTACCTATAAATCCCTATATGGCTCGGGTCCAGACGGTCTGAAGGACCGTATCTCCTCGCATGAGCCTTCTCAGCCCTTAAGATCCTCCTCCGAGGAGGAGGCCCTCCTCCCAGTCCCACTGCCTTTCCAGGGACACTTGATGGGGAGACGAGAGAGGGCCTTCTTGGTGGCTGCTCCCGGGTTCTGGAATGCTTTACCCTCAGGAGGTCCGGCTGACTCTTTTTTTATAATCTTTCCGCTGACAGCTGAAGACCTCCCTTTTCAGACAGACATTTAATAACCGAGTTCTGCACTCTGGTTTCTAGCTTAGGAAGTCTGCTTTTTAAAAAAAAAAAATTAAATGTTTTTAATTATTTAATGTATTTAAAACTATTATTATGGTTTTAATGGCTTTTAAATGCATAATTTATTGTGGTTTTTTTTATTCTACTTGCCGTAGGGTTCCTTGTGTATTATGTTGTAAACGGCCCAAACTCTAGCACTACGGGGCAGTATGGAAATCCAAACAAGAACAACACTGGTATTCACATTGCGAACCATCCTGAGTCCCTCGTCTGGAGAAAGGTGGCCTATAAATGGCATTAAATGAATGAATGAATGAATGAAGATGCTCTTCAGCCTTTCCTCTGCAACTCTCCAATCTGCTCACCTGCAAAGCTGCTCCCCATTGTTCAAATTCAGATGCTGTCTTACAGTTCGGGTGACCAAGCCCCCTATGGAAGGAAAAGAAGAAGTCATATCCATGTTGTTCTCCAACAAGTGCACGTCCATAATCCAAACACAATTCACATAACTCTGATGATGTTAGTTACTTGATCCGGTACCATCACAGTCAGAAAGAGAAAACCTGAGCTGAACTATTTGGCCAATGCAGAAGGCCTCCAGGACTAGGAGTTTTAGCAGTGAAGTGAAATCTAGAACACACGGTGTCACTCTGTGACAAAATTATAAAACAGGAGGTGATACATCAAAGGGAAGACTTGTTTATTCTTCTCCTCCCCTGTTGAACTGAATGCTGCTAAAGAATATGGGAAGAGAGAGAACGGCTGAAATCCTGCTGGTGTAAATTTATACCACCCAAGTGTGATGATGTCATTGTCTAGCAATGACATTTTTTTATTTAGTTAAATTAAATATTTTCCTACATGCCCCCCTTTGAGGATCCAGGGCTCTTTAGGGCTCTGTTTTGCCCTTGGGAAACCTTTGGGAGCCTCAGGACTTGTGAGGAGGTCTTTCATATTAGAAAATTGCTCCTGGTAGGGTTCCAAGCAACAATTTTCTAATATTAAAGCTCCGGCACAAAAAAGGGGCTTCCCAAGGGCCAAAGGGATCCCTAGGGAGTCTCAGAACTTGAAGGAGAGCGTTAACAAATTTTTAATTTAATTACGTTCATCAGATGATGAAAACCTCTCAGATTGTGTGACATAAATGTACACCAACAGGATTTCAGCCAGTTTCACGGCACGTAAATTAAATCCTACTGCTAGTGTCAAATGGAGAAGGGCTAACGAATCAATGAGATTTATGGTGTTCACTTTGCAAGTCTCATTCATTCAATGGGACTTCCTTAGTTGAGATCAATAGCTGAAGTTGGCCATATGGGCTTAAAAACTAAGAACAAAAAAGTGAGGGGGAAACCTTTGGGAGCCTCAGGACTTGTGGGGAGGTCTTTCATATTAGAAAATTATTAAAGGCTCCCCTGCAAAAAAAAAAGGGCTTCCCAAGGGCTAAGGGGATTCCTGGGGAGCCTCAGAACCTGAAGAAGAGCTTGAACAAATTTTTAATTTAATTAAGTTCATCATCAGATGATGAAAACCTCCCAGTCTGTGTGGCATAAATGTACACCAACAGGATTTCAGCCAGTTTCACGGCACAGGTTAAATCCCACTGCTAGTACCAAATGGAGCGGGGCCAATGAATCAATGAGATCCATGGTGTTCACTTTGCAAGTCCCATTCATTCAATGGGACTACCTTAGCTGAGATCAACAGTTAAATTTGGCCATATGGACTTAAAAGCTAAGAATAAAAAACTGAGGGTCTACTCATGTGGCATATCAGTGATGAACTCTCTCCTGGGTCAAATCATTCAATGGGATTATTTTTAAAGAGTACTGAAACTATTTGGCTATTAAAGCAATGTGTTTTTAAAATTCTCCTCTTACTCCAGCTTTCCGGCATGACCTTGAGGGCAAGAGGAACGAGGTCGTCAAAGGAGGCATCCAGAATCAAGGCACTGACATCTGGGTACGACATGGCGGCCCAAGTGGCTGTTGAAAGAAAGAAAGAAAGAAAGAAAGAAAGAAAGAAAGAAAGAAAGAAAGAAAGAAAGAAAGAAAGAAAGAAAGAAAGAAAGAAAGAAAGAAAGAAAGAAAGAAAGAAAGAAAGAAAGAAAGAAAGAAGCTGTTATTGGTTGCTTTTGAATACTGCCCGGGAGAAGTTAGAGAGACAAAATGTAATCTTTTGAACCCCAACTCTCAGAATATGCTAGCCACAAGGCAATCAGCTACAGTGACAGAGGGATGCTGGTCCTATCATTTGAAAAATAATCTTCCTCTATCTCTTGATAGATGGCTGGATAGCTCAGTGGTTTAAGTATCTTGCTGAGGAGCCTGGAAGTTCAATTCTCCACTGTGCATCAAGGGAGAAAATCCTTGGACAAGCTGCACAGTCCCTGGATGGCCCCAGAAGGAAATGGGAAACCACTTCTGAGTATTCTCTACCTGGAAAACCCTAAAAAGAGTTACCGTACTGTGAGATAGAACTGAGTTGAGGGCATACAGTTATGATTGTTATCTCTTGATGGAGTAGGGGAATCAAGAAACCTTCATGCCTCCTGTCTCATTAGCTGTTTAACTATCACGAAAGTCCCATCCTAAGCTGAGCTTTTACAACTTGAAAAGTCAACCATTCTGAGCTCTAATCTCTGGGGTCAGTGTCCTACTGCGAGTCTCAGCTACGAGCATACCTGCTGAATCAACTGCTCAATAGGATGTCAACATTTATGTAACTCCCTGTGGCGTTCGCCCTTGTGCCCCCGCCTGACCCTCCGAATACAGAGCACAGGAAGGCAAACTAATGCTCCTTTTTACCCTGCTGCCACCAGTTGATCACTAAATCAACATTAATTATGGAAGGATGAAGATGCAGGTCCAAACTTCACTGTTTTCTGAATGAAACGTTTTTATTGATTGCAGATATCTGAATATTAATCATAGGTAACTTCTATTATCATCAATCTCAACCTTGTATTTGTCATTACAGTTCTTATTCACTTTTCACTCTAATCATACCTCAGATCTCCCAAATACCATATTCTGCTTCCTCCTCCACTCTCTCACTCTGACTCTGACTGACTGACTCACTCTCTGACTCCGCCTCTTTATTACATATCTCTCAGCTCCGCCTCTCAGCAATATTAGCCTAAAACATGAATATTCATAGCTACTTAACATAATAAGGGTGAATGCTACACTCCCATTCAGTCAATGGGTCTACTTTAGTGAGGACTAACAACAGTGTATCACCTCAAGTTCTATTTTTAGCTTGTGCAATTACAAAAGTTTAAAAGAATTTTTTTTCAGGGCAAAGGGGGGTAGAGAATCTTGCCTGCTCATAGTCGGAGACTTTATAAGGACTACAGTACTCATTAATTAGTGTGAAGGAAGGTAACGGTTTAGATTTTCCTGACCAGCTGCATTAATACTATACATGATGCTGAACTACATTTTAGACGAGGCACAATTTGATGCTTTAGCCATGAATTGTCCCATAAATGGCTGAATAAACCAATCCGTCTTGTGTTATTTCTGGCTTGCTTCTCCCCTGCCCCCTTTGGTCAGCTCCTGTTTCAGAATGGGCAGCTGAGGAAACAAGCCACATCCACCGATTCTAAACGAACAGCAAGCCATAGTTCAGACAAGCCAGAGTTCATGAACCAACAACATGCCATAATTTCTAATGGTGTTCTTTCAGGGCAGCAACAAGCAGCAATACTGCAAATCCATAACATGGCTTACTGTTATGTATGATCCTTGCTCGCCATCTCTTTCTACCGCCACCCATGCAAACTCAGGGATGAAGTACTTCACCAAAGACTCAGATTGAGCCTGCCCCGATTCTAGTTATTCTCCGTTATAAGCAGGGGTTAGTATGTGTGTGTGTTGTGGCCTTGCCCGCTAAACGAACAGCAAGCCATAGTTCAGACAAGCCAGAGTTCATGAACCAACAACATGCCATAATTTCTAATGGTGTTCTTTCAGGGCAGCAACAAGCAGCAATACTGCAAATCCATAACATGGCTTACTGTTATGTATGATCCTTGCTCGCCATCTCTTTCTACCGCCACCCATGCAAACTCAGGGATGAAGTACTTCACCAAAGACTCAGATTGAGCCTGCCCCGATTCTAGTTATTCTCCGTTATAAGCAGGGGTTAGTATGTGTGTGTGTTGTGGCCTTGCCCGAGTCCCTTCCTAACTATCTCCTCCCTTCTACTATCTCTGTATACTGCAACTCCTTCTCCTTATCAGTAATGTTTACCCCCCTGCCTATCTTTCAATGAGCTAGAGAATTCTAGTTATTCTCCGTTATAAGCAGGGGTTATGTGTGTGTTGTGATCTTGCTTGCCCAAGTCCCTTCCTAACTATCTCCTCCCTTCTACTATCTCTGTATACTGCAACTCCATCTCCTTATCAGTAATTTTTACCCCCTTGCCTATCTTCCAATGAGCTAGAGACCTCTAGAGTATCTGTTTCCCTCACAACAGCACGCAGTCCAAAACTCCTGAGTAACCCAAGGTTAAGAACCAGTGCTCTAGAGTATCTGTTTCCCTCACAACAACCCTGTGAGATATGAGTAGGGTGAAAGTGAGGGATTGGCTCAAAGCCATCCAGTTGAATGTCATGGCTCGTGGGGAGGGGGGGGGAATGCTAGAACAGGCAACCTCCAACACTTTAACCACTGAACCACATGGCCTTGCTTGGATACCTGTAAAGCCACCAATGGACCAGGCGTAGAGGATGATGTCCTCCGGAAGGAAACCCAGGCGGTGGATGGCGTACTGCACCACGACATCCATGGCGTTGGCCTCGTTCTGAGGCAACGGCACCCCCTGAAGCAGGAAAAGGACGTGGTTAGAACTCGGTCACGACCGAGACACTTTGTAAAGGAAAGCTGGAAGCTGATGCACAATTGGATCCAGAAAGAGACAGGAACTCGGGGGAAGAAATGATGGTGACAAACGAGTACTTATGAGAACCCGTGGATGTTATTAGGGGAGGAGGACGTGGTTAGAACTAGGTCACAATTGAGACACTTTGTAAAGGAAAGCTGGAAGCTGATGCACAATTGGGTCCAGAAAGAGACAGGAACTCGGGGGAAGAAATGATGGTGGCAAACGAGTACTTACGAGAACCCATGGATGTTATTAGGGGACCTAGACGATGACTTGGGTTACTCAGGAGTTTTGGACTGCAACTCCCAGAAGCCTTCACCACCAACTGTGCTGGCTGGGGTTTCTGGGAGTTGCAGTTCAAAAACATCCGAGTAACAAAGGTTAAGAACCACTGTCCTAGACGATGGTGAAATCTCTGCTCTATATAAGTAGTATGGATGCCTTGCTTTTGTTGTCTTTTGTTGTGTCTTACTCTGTTTTGTATGTATGAATAATAATAAATAGGAAAAAAAAGAACTAGGCCTGAAGCCACTTGGGAGCAGAGTGGGAGGAGAAAATAAGGTACCTGATCTGCCTCCCTCTCTGTTTTCCCACACAAATTCCTTCATGATAATTACTGTGAACTTCATTTGCCTCCTGAGAGCAGGTTTCCCTTTGAAGTGAAGACTGATCACTTTTTTTGCAGTTGGGAAAACTCGGGTTGAAACTAGACAATTACAGTGCAGGTGTGCAGACTTGCAGATGTGTATCCCTGGACTCTAATTCCCAGAAATTCTTATCTGCACATCTGGAATGCCTACATTTTGGGCTCAAACACAAGAGAGTGCAGTGGAGTGCCACACAGCTACCTCTTCTAAAACTACTTCTTGTATAGACTGCATGCCCTGCTGTTTTATCCATTGTCTCAAGGAAAACATCTCAAAATACAAAACATTCCGGGGCAGGGAGAAAAGGGTAAGAGAAGGAGTGAGAGAAACCAGCCTTTCCAGAACTTCTGAGCAAAAGGGAAGCAAGTCAATGGAGGAGGAAAATTCTCGCTGGCAGACCTTGGCTGATAAAGCTCCTCCCACGTAAAGCTGAATAAGACATGGAATGGGCTCCATCTCTGTTAGATTTAAATGGATCGCATCTACCATAGGCCCAAGAGGAAAGCAATGAAACATTGTGATAAAACTCACGGTGCTGCCTGCAAATCCAGGGTGGTTCCAGCCCAGCACAGAGTATCCAGCTACAACAACAAAAAAAGAAGGAGAAGGAGAAAAAAAACAGGAGGACGAGAAGGGTCAGGATAACACACAATATTGTTTGTTGGTATGTGCTGTTGAACTGCTTCAACTTATGGTGACTCTTAACAGGGTTTTCAAGATGCATTAGATGTAGGGCTGCCTGCAAATCCAGGGTGGTTCCAGCCCAGCACAGAGTATCCAGCTACAACAACAAAAAAAGAAGGAGAAGGAGAAAAAAAACAGGAGGACGAGAAGGGTCAGGATAACACACAATATTGTTTGTTGGTATGTGCTGTTGAACTGCTTCAACTTATGGTGACTCTTAACAGGGTTTTCAAGATGCATTAGATGTAGGAGGAGTGGCTAACCACTAACTCCCTGTTTGTTTCCAGAGCTGAGCAAGATTTCAAACCCCGTATGTGCTGTTGAACTGCTTCAACTTATGATGACTCCTAACAGGGTTTTCAAGATGTATTAGATGTAGAAGGAGTGGCTAACCACTAACTCCCTGTTTGTTTCCAGAGCTGAGCAAGATTTCAAACCCCGGTTTCCTGACTCCTAGTCTATAACACTCTTCCCATCACACTGTCTACTACATCATGGCACCCGGTTTCCTGACTCCTAGTCTATAACACTATTCCCATCGCTCTGTCTACTACATCATGGCACATAGTACAGTGGTGCTTCGCTTGACGATGTAAATTCATTCCAGCGAAATCGCTGTAGAGTGAAAACATCGTAAAGCGAAATAAAAAAGCCCACTGAAATGCACTGAAACCCCTACAATGCGTTCCAATGGGCTCAAAACTCAGTCCAGCAAAGATCCTCCATAGGGGCAGCCATTTTCGGGTGCCTGTATAGCGAAAAATGGCTCCTAAAAACAGCGGGGAGCCATTTTGTACACCCGGCGGCCATTCTGAAACCCGACAATCAGCTGCGAAAATCGGTTCCCTGCTTCGGGATCATCGTGAAGCAGATTTTTCCCATTTAAACCATCGTTTTGCGATCGCTTTTGCAATCGCAAGAACCTAACCGGCAAGCGATTTCCTCGTTAAGCGAGGCAATTGTTAAGTGAGGCACCATTGTATTCCAGATTCAGCAGTATTTCGGTCCAGCACGTCATACCTGCTTCCCCCTTTCGTTTAGCTTGAAAAGAGGAAGAGTTACATACTTGCGATCGCTTTTGCGATCGCAAGAACCTAACCAACAAGCGATTTCCTCGTTAAGCGAAGCACCACTGTATTCCAGATACAGCAGTATTTTGGTCCAGCACGTCATACCCGCTTCTCCCTTTCATTTAGCTTGAAAAGAGGAAGAGTTACATAAACAAGATGGGTTCGCCTCCTCTTTTATCCCAGGAGAAGCCCTTGCAATTGCTGGAAAACCAAACCAAGGCAAGCATCATCTCTATAGCACTGCACAAGAGGGAAGGGAGTCTGGAGGAAATGTCCTGTGGGAATTCTCCCTCTGTTGGCAGAACCACCGGTGGAGTGGCAAAGGCTCAAGGGCAGGGGCTCCTCCCCACAGTGGTGAAGTACATGACAGCTTGCCAGTCCCTGTTCGAGATGGCAAGGCATTCTGAAAACTCTTTCCAAGAAGAATTCCAAAACAAAGCAAACTTTTTTGATCCCTACGCACCCATGAGCTCAGCAGTTTTCTTCCCCACCAAGAGCAAAAGTACCTTGAAGATCAAGCTACCCAACAAAAACTTTCAATTACCAATGGGGAAAGTAACAACACCGTACAGCTACTGGGGAAAATCTTCCCCTAGACAACATTCTCCCACTCCACAGCTAAACCCAAAGGGAAATGGGATAGCTTCAGGTGGCAAGGGTCTTGATGAGGGTGCAGATGATGCTGTGATCCCTGCTGGTCAAAAAGTCCCAGAGCCTTAACCCTGCAAGCTCAGCCTCCACTACTACATCATTGGTTAAAACAGGCCAAGCGCAGAGGAATCCTACAGCATCTGCAGTACCAGACTCATGACCAGTGCGCTGACTTTGGCAACTGTATACGGTTGCCACAAGCACCGGAAGAGGCATCGCACTGCGGCTTCAATCCTTTGCAAAGTCATCTCTCTCAGTCTGGCTGAAGAAAGGGAATTTCTCGCCCTTAGCTTATTCTCGCTGTGCTGCTTCCAACAGATGTAACAGTAATTTCGTTTTGTTAGATCAAAGGGAAACAAAGCCAACAGGGAAACTGTGTTGAGTCAAAAGGAGGGAATGGGGGAGATTTCTACCCCATCGCAATTATAAATTACAGCCTAGAGATTTCTTTCTTTTTTCATACTTCTGTAATTCCCTAGCCAGCATAGTTCCAAGTGCAAAACAGAGTAACTCTCTTAAGCTCTACTGTTAAGAAACCACCAGGGATCACGGTCCTGCACTCCAGGGAAGGGTACAAGTTACCAGCGGGTTTGCTATGCTTGTAAAGCATCCAATTTTCTAATTAAACTCAATGGTATCTTAAGAAAGAGGCGGAAGGAACCTGGTTAAGTAATCAAAGCTTCTCTGTATCACACTGGGAAGATCCTTGGTTTAGGCTTACCTGCAGAATGCAAAAAACAGCTAGAGTACCTTAATATAAAGGTGCATTCAATTCACCACCTCACCCCGTGTCCCTGGGAACCTTTTATTATAACTCAAAGGGTTAAACAATCGAAGAAATCAAAGAGATGCACCATACCGTCCAGAGGGGTGGAAAGGCAGCCAACTTCATAAAAGCCTGCATTTCCTTCACAGCAAATCACCTACCGAGACAGAAGAAAGCAATTCTATCAAAACCCATCAGAAACTTGATTTATTCTGCAACAAGCCGGAGGTTTTGTTTGTTTCCTGGCAGTGTCAGAGTTTTCAAATTATCCTTTCTTAAATTATAACACACAGTCTTCCACTAACTCTGAGGGCCAGGAGATTCTGGGTATGGCTTCCCACCCACCCCAAAAACAACAACAAAAGACAGGGAATATTTTCAAGCTGTGCTATGTTTCGTGTGCAGACCTTCTGGTGGTTTGGATGGTAAAGGATGGATCTCAGCTGTGTGGCAACATGAATTTGGGATGGCTGAGGCTGATTTTGGCAATTTTTCCCCATCTCCTTATGCTTCAAACCACTTAACAGGCTTTGGATGCTGAATCACTGAAGCACAGGGCTATTAACACTTAAACAAAGGACTAGACCAGTGGTTCTTAACGTGGGCGATAATGCCCCCCAGGGGGCGATTTCATTTTTCAGGGGGGCGGTAGAACGAAAAGGGGCGGCGTGGGGGCGCTGG